CCAGCCAGGGTCAGCCCACTACAAGGGATAAACTAGTCTGTCTTTCTTGAGCAGGGAAGGCAATCCAGGTAGCCTGGTGGCATCACCATGGCTGAGCTATCACCATGCCCCCACGGCTGATAAACCAAAGATGGGTGCTGACCTCTGACACAACTGTGTACTTGGTTGTGTTCATAGCATGGCCCTAGTCATCATCCAGCTTCCGTGATGTGGCTGTTGACTTTTAGGCTGGAGGGTCTCTAATATGCTACCAGCTTTGGATATGCTACCAGCTTTGGTGCTGGCAGCTCCAGTGCATGTTTTCCCTCTGCTTGTGTAAAGCTACCCTTCCTCCTCAGAGTTCTGGTTGGGCCTCAGTAGACTGGAACATAACTGATCTGCCCCCCGTTACATCTTTTGGGTTTGGTTCTTGAGAAAGAGTAGATTTGCCTGTGTCAGGATGCTTCCGGCTGCAATGGACTGTGTGTTCCGCAGACTCTGCATGAAGAAGCATAGGCTGTGGGTCAGAGGCATGTGGGTCACCCCATAGCTCTGTGGCTGGGACATTGTGGCTAAGGTGAACATCTGCAACAAGGCCAGCTGGCTATAAGAAGTCGTGCTGTCCTCCTGCCTTTAAGCACAACATGCAGAAGGAGAAATTCCTTACTAGTGTCTCAAATGTGGTGTCACCCTCACTCCTCTGAGGAGACCACCAGTACCACTGGTGCCTCTTTCAGTGTGCTTCCACTTCCCCAGACCCCAGTCAGGCCCCAGATGGCTGCTTAGCAGTTGCTGTTTAGGAACTAATGGGAGAGGAATAGAGTTACCTTGAGGTTAAAAACTTGGTGCTGCCTTTGTCTTCATTACAGGAGGGATGGCAATCTCTTCAACCATCAAGTCCTGCCTGCCCTCCAGCATCTGCCATCTTGGTCCTATCACCATGAACTACGGGAAGGTAAAAGCAAGGAGCCACTTAGCCTGTTGCACAGGTGACGACTGTCAAACAACCTCTGTCTCACGTAAGCTCATCTTGTCCTTACACCTCGTCCACTCTGTCTGCTCCAACCTGAGGTGAGGCTTTCCAGATTAAGCCATCACCTTCCTCATTCCAATCATTCGCTCATTAAAACCAATTATGGCTCATCCCTCTCCTTCCAGTGCCACCAGAGGATAACGTGCCCAATGGATACCAGTGTCCTGCCTGCTACAGCGTGGACTCTTTCCAGTGTGGTAATGAAATTGTAAACTGCTCTGGATCCGAAACCCAGTGTGTTGACCTTGCTGGGTTAATGACTTCTGGTAACTGCCTTTTATGTGGGGCTGTCTTTCATCTTTTTGCTTAAATGGGTGAAACCAGTCTAAGATGAAACATCACAGAGAAAATAAAAATGAGGAACAAGTGTGAAGGAAAAGACAGGGAACTGAAAGTGAACATGCTTAAAGCTGATGAAAGGTCAGGAGCATTTGTTTCTTCCTCCTTCTCCATCATGCATGGATAGCTGCTGGGATTCCTCATAGCGTGGCATAACTGAGGTCAAGGGCAGAAGTGGACTCCTGAAGCAGTCTGATGCATGGGTATGTAATAAATCTGACCAAGATCCTAAACCTGCTGGCCCTAGCTGGGATGGATGAGATGCATCTGGATCTAAGCCAGTTGCCTACTTATTGGAGGTTCAGGTGAAACTAATACTGAGCCATTAGCTTTCTCATGAGGTGACACTGGCCACTGGGGCCAAGACACTGTCATAGTGGTGCCTCTTCTCTTCAAGGACCAGGGGCAGGTCCCTCTCCATGAATGCTACAGCTGAGCCTTTGGGGCACCCAAACGTCTTCCCTGCAAGGGAACTCCAGGCTTTGAATGGCTGGGGTCACCAGCAGCACATAACACTCCTATTCCTACCTCAGGAGCTGTAATTAGAAAGACAAAATTAGACAGCAAGTTTCCTCGTCACTGTCCTTTCCTGCCCTGTCCACAAGTAAAAGATTTCCACATTTCATGGCAGTCCCACCAGTGCTCCAGCAGGCAGGAAGAGTAATGTGGAAATTAAGGGCAGTGGCACCTGCTGCAGAAGCAGACTGGAAAAAGATCATCTTGTGTATAGTTATGGATGAAGTTTCTCTGAGTTGAAAATATTGCCATGACATGATGCCTGAAGGTTTTTGGTATACGCTTTATTGGTGTGTTGTCCAAACCCTGTGTTAGAAGGTGTTTCACAGAGACAACATGAAGGAAAATAAGCCTTTTCTTAGTCACAACAATGGTGATCGAGTGGTGCAATTAATTCAGTGTACCACTGAAATAAAAAGTGCTTCTAACTTGTCTTGACTTGACTGCTCAGCCACTGTAAATAATGGATACCAGTGTGGTGTGATGGACTGCGTAGAGGAAGCAGTGGTGTAGGGGGGCAAAGGAAGGTGAGGAACTAATGAAACACCCTTATACATTATTTGTATTTGAGACAAAAAAATCCAGTAGAATGTTCCAGACCTCTGTAGCCTGTGCAGTGAGAAACATAAGCAAAAGCAAGCAATGGGAGCAAGAATATCTGAATAGGAGATATGCACCCAGCACCTTCTCAGGTCCCCTTCTCAGGCAGATACTCCAGTGCTGGGAAAGGACAAGTTCAGGTTTCAGGCTCTCCCTCAGTGAGCATATGAGCAGGGTTTCCCTGATGATTTGGCTAAATCCTGTAAGGCCATAGAGAATGGACTTATCTGAATAAATGGCTCAGCCTGTAATGTCTTTGAGACTTCTCCCCCTGCCACCTCAAATCTGGCTGAGAGATAGATGGTCACCAGAAGAGGCCACCTAGATGATCAGAGAGCTGGAGCACCTCTGCTAAGGGGACAGGCTGAGAGGGTTGGGCTTGTTCAGCCTGGAGAAGAGAAGGCTTGGGGAGACCTTATTGCAGCCTTCCAGTGCCTGAAGGGGCTACAGGGAAGCTGGGGGGGACTTTTTACAAGGGCCTGTAGTGACAGGACAAGGGGTAATGGGTTTAAATTGAAAGTGGGGAGGTTTAGATTAGATATCAGGAAGAAGTTCTTCCCAGAGAGGGTGGTGAGGCACTGGAACGAGTTGCCCAGGGAACTTCTGCTAAACAAACCCACCAACCCCCACACGAACGAGCCAGCACAGGAGTGAGCAAAGCAGCTAACGCAGGAGTCAGGGAGAGTGTCAGCAAGCGTACGGGAGTGAATGAGCAAGAGAGTCAGAGAGTAATGGCTCCCGGACCCCCTTCTCACCAATACCCCGAGCATGACGTACTGTGGGATGAAATACTCCCTTGGTCAGTTTTGGTCAGGTGCCTGAACTGTGTGTCTCCTGCACTGTCTGCAGTGAGACAGCGAGAGCTGGGAACGCAGCTGCAGGGTCAGAAGCAGAGAAAGACCTTGAATCCCAGTGCAGGCATTCCCCAGCACCAGCCAAGAACTTATCAGTGCTGCTGTCTGCATTCACGAATAGCTTCCTAGTAGCCATTGTAAAGAGAGTTAACTCTTTCCTGACTGAACCCAGCACAATGCCCCATCCCTGATGTGTTCAAGGCCAGGCTGGATGAGGCTTGGAGCAACCTGGTCTAGTGGAAGGTGTCCTTGCCCATGACAGGGGATTTGGAACTCGATGGTCTTTAAGGGCCCTTCCAACCCAAACCATTCCATGATTCCATGATTCTATGATAGCCATCCAGTTCAAATGTCATGAGAGGGTCAGAGAGAGAAGGACATAATGAACACCTGGAGTCCTGTCACACTGGTTTCTTTAGCAAGCTAGGCAAGGTTTGAACAGAAGAATCTTTAAATGAGAGAAAGAAAACTATTCAAAAACTTCTCAATTTTTAAATTTAAAATGCTTAAATGTTAAAAAAAATATCTATTTTATTCAGCAGAAGGAAAGAAAATATAAAGCCTAAACATTTTGTATTTCAAGTCAACCAAGGTGACTTTGCTGATTCTTCAAAATCGTACAGAAGATAGGAACAGACAGGAATTGGTTGGTGGGTTTGGAGCCAACTGGATGTAAGGAATGGGCCAGTTCTTCGTGTTGAAATGAGGACCTTATTGGCTAGAGAGGGAATAACTGTAGTGACTGGAATGTACTGACACCCCACATGTACTTCTCTTGTGTAGGTGGACTGTCTCTGAAAGCTGCCATGAAGGGTTGCACAACTGTTTCTGAATGCAGTCTTGTTGGAGATGGAAAAAACAGTCTGGGGGTGATGGACATAAAGTTGAAGCGGTTCCAATGCACACCAGCTTTTCCTTTGGCCAGAAAGAGTTCTGGGTTTGCCCCTCCACACACCCTCTTCCTCCCTGTCCTGTCAGGATTAATCTTGGAGAAGGTACTTTTCTGACTCTCTGTAGTACTGGGTTAAGCAAACCCCACAACGAACTCCAGCCATGGTTTGCACCGAGTCCTGTCTACTGTGACTTCTCTTGTATGGGGATTTGGTTTTCGGATTAGTTTATCTTCTTCTTTCATAATTTCACAGAATAAAGACAGTACTTACACTTCCTTTGTTTCCTCATTGATTTAATCTGATTTAAAGCTTTATAGATTCAATTGTGGTTGGTTCTGTATTACATTCTCCGAGTGCTTTGTCCCCACTGGGACCAAAGGAGGCTGAAGGAGATGTCCATATACTGGACCAGGGGTCTCAAGACAGCCTTAGACTCTACATCCAGTAACTCAGGGTAAGTTTGAAAACCACTTTTCCATGCTCCAAAAAGAACCGGAGGTGAATTCCTGAGAGGTTCACTCTAATTAGAGAGGTAGCTTGCCCTGTTTTCCCTCCCTTGTATGCCATTTGTCCATGGTACAAGTCCTTCCACTCAGAGGGTTGCCTGTGGCCTCTGGGCAGCCCTGAAGAAATCTGAGTTTCAGGGAAGAATCAGCAACCCTTTGCTATAAGCAAACTGCTCTTACCAAGCGCCTTTCTCCTCATGGTTGTTCTTCTTGCCT